CTCATCCATCCTGACCTCATCCCACCCCATTCCATCCAATGCCATCCTATCTCAACCCATCCTACCCTATTCCATCCCTCCCCATGTCCTATCTTCCCATCTCATCTATCTCCATCTTATCCAACCACATTTAATGCCATCCGATCCCATCTGATCTCATCTCATTCCATCATCTGATCTCATCCCACCCCATCCCATCATCTCATCTGTCATGACCTTACTCAACCTTATCCCATGCCATCTTGTCCCATCCCACCCCATTCCATCCTATCCTATCCTATCCTATCCTATCCTATCCCATCTCTTCTCCTCTTCCTCTTCTCTTCTCTTCTCTTCTCCTCTCTCTTCTCCTCTTCTCTTCTCTTCTCTTCTCTTCTCTTCTCTTCTCTTCTCTTCTCTTCTCTTCTCTTCTCTTCTCTTCTCTTCTCTTCTCTTCTCTTCTCTTCTCTTCTCTTCTCTTCTCTTCTCTTCTCTTTTCTCTTCTCCTTCTCTCTCTCTCTCCTCTTCTCTTCTCCTCTCCTCTCCTCTCCTCTCCTCTCCTCTCCTCTCCTCTCCTCTCCTCTCCTCTCCTCTCCTCTCCTCTCCTCTCCTCTCCTCTCTTCCTTCTTCTCTTCCCTCTTCTCCTCTTTTCTCTTCTCCTCTCCTCTCCTCTTTTCTCTCCTCTCCTCTTTTCTCTCTTCTATTTCTCTTCTCTCTTCTCTCTTTTCTCTTCCCTCTTCTCCTTTTCTCTTCTCTTTTCTCCTCTTTTGTCTCCGTCTCTTTTCTCTTTTCTCTCCTCTTTTCTCTCTTCTCCTCTTCTCTCTCCTCTCTCCTTCTCTCTTTTTTCTTTCTCTCTTTCTCTTTCTCTCTTCCTCCTCTTCCCCTTCCCCTTTGCCTTCCCCTTCCCTTTTCCCTTTTCCCTTCCCTTTTCCCTTCCCTTTCTCCCTCCCTTCCCCTTCCCTTTTTCCCTTCCCTTCTTCCCCCTCCCCTTTCCCTCCCCATCCCTCCCCATCCCCACAGGATTCATGCGCCAGGAGATGGCCGAACTCGAAGCCTCCGAGGAGCTCCGGGGCCGGCAGCGCCCGCGCAGCCCCAAGGGCTGGGGTCTCCTCCAGGCCCTTTGGTACCTGAGCTTCTACCGCGCCGTCATCACCGAGGGGCACCTGCGGCGCCGCGCCCTCGCCTTCATCTTCATCCGCTTCAGCGCTTGGCAATTCGCCGGCTGCGACCGGCTCTGGGCCGGGCTGGTGACCGCGCTCTGCCACAGCATCCGCAGCCACTTCGGGGCCTTGCCCCTCAGCGTCTTCCACGTCCTGGGCTCTCGGCCCCGCTTCGCCTCCGGCTTCAGCCAACGGGAATGGGTTCTGAAGCGGGGCACGTGCCTCAAGCTGTGGGGCATGCTGGTGGCACTGGGCGCCGGCGTGGCGGTGCTGCTGGTGGCGCTGTTGGTGCCGGGTGTTAAGGAGAGCCCGGTGTTGAAGGTGTTGGGTAGCGGCGTCGCGTCGCTCTCTGGCTCCGGTTTGGTGCTGGGCGCCGTCTCCATCCTCAAGAACCTGGTGGTGAGCGAGAAGCAGAAGATCGAGCGCTTGACCAACAGCGAGCGCTTCTCCTCGCAGCTGGGCTTCATGAGCAAGGTGCGCGCCGAGGTGCAGGCGCTCGTCGACTTCTTGGCCTTCATGGAGGTCTTTGAGCGCCGGCGTCTCCGTGTGGTGCTGGAGATCACCAGCCTGGAGCTCTGCTACCCGGAGAAGGTGGCCGGGGTGCTCAACGCCGTCAACACGCTCCTGTCGGATGCCAACGCGCCCTTCATCTTCATCCTGGCCGTGGACCCCAGCGTCATCGTGCCCTGTTTGGAGCAGACGGGCTGCATGAAGGGCTTGGCTGATAACGGGTACCTCTACCTCAACCGCACCGTCTCGTTGCCCTTCTCCATCCCGGAGTTGGGCGCCCGCTCCCGTTTGCACTTCCTGGACGCCGCCATCCAGACGCGCGAGGACCTCCTGTACCGCATCATCACCCGCAACGTGGAGCGGCGCCGCGCCAAGGGCCAACGCGTCCCTACCGATGGTGATGGTGGTGACGCCGACGCCGTGCGTTGCATCCACGAAGCCTTCCATTGCCTCCGCGACGCCGACGACCCCTTGGCCCGCTACGTCCCCGGCTGCGGCACCCGCGTGCGCCGCGTCGTCAACACCATCCCCATCACCCTGCGCCTGCTCCTGCACCGCGCCGGTGGTGCCGGCGCCGTGGCCCCGCGCGCGGCGGCCGCCTGGGTGGTGTTGGCCGATGGGTGGCCGTGCCGGTTGAGTTGGGCGCTGCAGTGCGCTGAGGACGCGTGGCAGGGCCCGGTGGTACCGGGGTTCGGGGAGCGGTCCCTATGGAGCATCTTTGAGGAGCACGCGGCGGAGCTGGGAGCGCTGCGGCAGGCGCTGCACAATGCCCTCAGCTTGGATGGGGATCCGGAGCTGTTCCAGAGCTTTCTGCAGTGTGATTTCCCCTTCACGGCCCGCGAGGCGCGCATCCTGCTCGCCGTCACCGTCAACCTGGACCACTCCATCCGGCACAAGATGGGGCTCCTGCGGGGGCTCGATCGGCTGCAGGCGGCGGCGCGGGTGAACCGCAGCGTCCAGTGCCCGCATCCCGAGTGATGGGGATGTAAATGGGATCCAGGCCCTGTGGGTACCGCAAGAGGATGCTCTGCGGGCAGGGATGCGGATGGCTCCTGTCCCAGTACCAAGAGGAGGCCGCCATGGGGTGGGAGACACTGGGGACCCCCCCATTGTGTGAGTGGGTCCCTTAAGGGGAGGGATATGGGGGAGTGACACCGTAATGGGGGTCAGCCCATAATAAACCAGCTCAACCTCCTGCTCTGTGCTTCAGATGATGCCTGGTTGAATGGGGAAAGGCACAGGGAGTCCTGGGGTGCAGGGGGGCAATAATGGGGGTGCCAACAATGGGGTACCAATAATGGGTGGCGTATCAATAATGGGGATATCAATAATGGGGGTACCAATAATGGGGGATATCAATAATGGGGGTACAAATAATGGGGGGGTACCAGTAATGGGGGATCTCAATAATGGGGGTACCAATAATGGGGGTACCAATAATGGGGGGTGTGTTCCAATAATGGGCGTACCAATAATGGGGTTATCAATAATAGGGTGCACACCAATAATGGGGGGGTACCAATAATGGGGGGGGTACCAATAATGGGGGGGTATCAATAATTATGGTACCAATAATGGGCAGGGTACCAATAATGGGGGTACCAATAATGGGGTTATCAATAATAGGGTGCACACCAATAATGCAGGTATAAATAATGGGGGGGTATCAATAATGGTGGTACCAATAATGGGGGGGGACCAATAATGGGGGTATCGATAATAGGGTGCACACCAATAATGCAGGTACCAATAATGGGGGGGGACAATAACAGGGGTACCAGTAATGGGCTGCAGGGGGGCGCCAATAATGGGGCATGGGGGCCAATAATGAGGGGCGGTCAATAATGGGTTCAGAGGGGGGGTACCATTAATGGGGGGTACCAATACCGGGGTGTGGGGGGGCAATAATTGAGTGGGCAATAATGGGGGTACTAATAATGGGGGGACCAATAATGAGGGGCAGGGGGGTTCAAATGATGGCGTGTGGAGAGGGGTATCAATAATGGGGTGCGGGGGGCATACCAATAATGGGGGTACCAATAAAGGGAGGTACAAATAACGGGGTGCAGGGGGTACCAACAATGGGGGTACCAATAACGGGGTGCAGGGGGTACCAATAATGGGGGTACCAATAATGGGGTGCAGAGGGGGTACCAATAATGGTGGTACCAGTAATGGGGTGCAGTGGGGGTACCAATAATGGGGGTACCAATAATGGGGTGCAGTGGGGGTACCAATAATGGGGGTACCAATAATGGGTGCAGGGGGGGGTACCAGTAATGGGGGTACCAATAATGGGTGCAGATGGGGGTACCAATAATGGGGGTACCAATAATGGGTGCGGGGGGGGTACCAATACTGGGTGCAGGGGGGTACCAATAATGGGGGGTACCAATACTGGGGTGCGGGGGGGGGGCTGTGTTATGGGGGGGTCCCATTCCCATCCTCCCCCCCTTTCCCCCCCCATAGCCCGGGGGCCCCCACAGCCGAATGCAGCTCCTTTAATAGAAACCAGTGTTAACAAAGAGATGCCACCGAATGCCCCCCCCCATAGACCCCACTTTGATGCCATCACCCCCCCCCCCCCCAACCCCCCCAAAAAGCCACCCCCCGGCTCCCTGATAGATTTATTGCACTTAAGAAAGACAAAGCGCCGAGTCCTCGTCCCCCTCCCTGAGAAATCCAGCCCGGCCCTTGGGAACGGCATTCCCAACGCTGGGAATCCCAACCTGGAAGCAGCCCCGCTTTGGATCCTGATTCCCACTCAAAAGAGGGGTTCCCCACTTTGGCTGCAAGGAGGGGGGGGGAGGGTTCCACCAATGCTGCTTGGTGGGGGGGGGGGTTAGGGGTGGTTTTCCCGGTATTCCCAAAGGTGGGAATTGAGATGGATGGAGTTGCTGGATTCTAAGAGCATCCCCAGGCAGGAACGGGGCAGCTGATGATAAATAGATCCCGAAAATAAGGGAAAAAGAAGGGAAAAAGAAGGAATTCCAAATAAATAAGCAGAGTGGCTGGGGCCTGTCCCGGGAATCCCATGGGATTCCGCCACCTCGGTCCCTGTAGTGTGGGAATCTCCATAGAGAAAGATGGGACAAGGGGAGGCGAAGGTGCCAATGTAGTGTCCATCGGGATGAGCCCATCCAGGGCTTTTCCCTCTTTCCCATCCCGCCTTTCCGCTCGGGAACGTGGGGAAGAGGCCGAGGGCTGGGAATGGGCTTGGGAAACATGGGATTCTCCATGGGGAAGAGGAGAAAACCATTCCGGAGCCTCCGTTCCATGGACCTGCATTGAGGGAGGAGAGCGGCCGTGGGGTTCCCATTGCACCGGGATGCTCCCAATGGGATCCCCATCCCAGGGCGGTCCCCATCCCATGGGATGCACTCACGGGTGCGCTCAGGGCAGCTCCTGCCCCGTGTCCTGGCTGGCCTCGAGGAGCAGCTCCTCCAGCTCCTGCTCGTTCTTGGAGCAGCTCAGCTCTGGAAGCAACCGGCACCGGGTCCGTCCCAGTCCAACATCCCCAGCATTCCCAGTCCAGCATTCCCAACATTCCCAGTCCAGCATTCCCAACATCCCCAGTCCAGCATTCCAAACCCGACATCCCCAACATTCCCAGTCCAGCATTCCCAACCTGATATCCCCAACATTCCCAGTCCAACATCCCCAGCATTCCCAGTCCAGCATTCCCAACCCGACATCCCCAACATTCCCAGTCCTGCATTCCCAACCCAACATCCCCAACTTTCCCAGTCCAGCATTCCCAACATTCCCAGTCCAGCATTCCCAACCAGACATCCCCAACATTCCCAGTCCAGCATTCCCAACCAGACATCCCCAACATTCCCAGTCCTGCATTCCCAACCCAAAATCCCCAACATTCCCAGTCCAACATCCCCAGCATTCCCAGTCCAGCATTCCCAACCCAAAATCCCCAACATTCCCAGTCCAGCATTCCCAACCTGATATCCCCAACATTCCCAGTCCAACATCCCCAGCATTCCCAGTCCAGCATTCCCAACCCGACATCCCCAACATTCCCAGTCCTGCATTCCCAACCCAACATCCCCAACTTTCCCAGTCCAGCATTCCCAACATTCCCAGTCCAGCATTCCCAACCAGACATCCCCAACATTCCCAGTCCAGCATTCCCAACCAGACATCCCCAACATTCCCAGTCCTGCATTCCCAACCCAAAATCCCCAACATTCCCAGTCCAACATCCCCAGCATTCCCAGTCCAGCATTCCCAACCCAAAATCCCCAACATTCCCAGTCCAGCATTCCCAACCTGATATCCCCAACATTCCCAGTCCAACATCCCCAGCATTCCCAGTCCAGCATTCCCAACCCGACATCCCCAACATTCCCAGTCCAGCATTCCCAACCCAACATCCCCAACATTCCCAACCCAACATCCCCAACATTCCCAGTCCAGCATTCCCAACCCGACATCCCCAGCATTCCCAGTGCAGCATTCCCAATCCAACATCCCCAGCATTCCCAGTCCAGCATTCCCAACCCGAAATCCCCAGCATTCCCAGTCCAGCATTCCCAACCCGACATCCCCAACATTCCCAGTCCAGCATTCCCAACCCGACATCCCCAGCATTCCCAGTCCAGCATTCCCAACCCGAAATCCCCAGCATACCCAACCCAACATCCCCAACATTCCCAGTCCAGCATTCCCAACCCGACATCCCCAACATTCCCAGTCCAGCATTCCCAACCCAACATCCCCAGCATTCCCAGTCCAGCATTCCCAACCCGAAATCCCCAGCATTCCCAACCCGACATCCCCAACATTCCCAGTCCAGCATTCCCAACCCGACATCCCCAACATTCCCAGTCCAGCATTCCCAACCCGACATCCCCAACATTCCCAGCCCTGCATTCCCAACCTGACATTCCCGATCCCATATTCCCAACCTGACATTCCCAACCCAAGACTCCCAATCCCACATCCCCAATCCAGCATTCCCAACCCGACACCCCCAACATTCCCAGTCCAGCATTCCCAACCTGACATCCCCAACATCCCCAATCCAGCATTCCCAATCCCACATTCCCAACATTCCCAGTCCTGCATTACCAACGCAATCCAACATTCCCAATCTGACACTCCCAAAACGACATTCCCAATCCCACATTCCCAATCTGATATTCCCCATCCAACATTCCCAATCCAACATTCCCAGTCCCATATCCCAATCCCACTTTCTAAGACCTGCATTCCCAGTCCCACATTCCCAACCCTGAATCCCCAGTCCTCTATTCCCAGCCCTGTGATCCCAGTCTCCCATTCCCAGCCCTTCATTCCCAGTTCACCCCGCATTCCCAGTCCCACATTCCCAACCCTGAATCCCCAGCCCTCTATTCCCAGCCCTGTGATCCCAGTCTCCCATTCCCAGCCCTTCATTCCCAGTTCACCCCGCATACCCAGTCCCCCATTCCCAACTGTGAATCCCCAGCCCTCTATTCCCAGCCCTGTGATCCCAGTCTCCCATTCCCAGCCCTTCATTCCCAGTTCACCCCGCATTCCCAGTCCCTTATCCCAGTCCCACATTCCCAACCCTGAATCCCCAGTCCTCTATTCCCAGCCCTGTGATCCCAGTCTCCCATTCCCAGCCCTTCATTCCCAGTTCACCCCGCATTCCCAGTCCCACATTCCCAACCCTGAATCCCCATCCTCTCCAGCCCTGTGACCCCAGTCTCCCATTCCCAGCCCTTCATTCCCAGTTCACCCCGCATTCCCAGTCCCACATTCCCAACCCTGAATCCCCAGCCCTCTATTCCCAGCCCTGTGACCCCAGTCTCCCATTCCCAGCCCTTCATTCCCAGTCCCTTATCCCAGTCCCACATTCCCAACTCTGAATCCCCAGTCCTCTATTCCCAGCCCTGTGATCCCAGTCTCCCATTCCCAGCCCTTCATTCATAGTTCACCCCACATTCCCAGTCCCACATTCCCAACCCTGAATCCCCAGTCCTCTATTCCCAGCCCTGTGACCCCAGTCTCCCATTCCCAGCCCTTCATTCCCAGTTCACCCCGCATTCCCAGTCCCAATCCTGCCTTTCCATCCCTGCATTCCCAGCCCTTCTCCCATCCATGCTCCAGGGAATGCGGCCCCGTTATCCCAAGCTCTAACGAAGAGGCTCCACGAGCTTCCCAAAGGATTCATTACATTAAGTGCACCTCATCCAGGAGGAGCATTAGGAACCACTTCAAAGGGAACCCTTCCCACTCACCCCACACTTGGAATTCCCTTGGGAAAAGCTCCCTAGCAATAAATGCCTGCCCTGGGGGCATCCCATTGGGAAAGCAGCAGGGAACGGCTCCATGCTCATCCCATGCTCCGGAACGCTGCCCTGCTATGGATGGGGGAACGGGGCCCTGCATCCCGGAGCTCTTACCGTGCTCTGCTCCACAACTTCCCATTTTCCCATCGTTTTCCGAGGCCACATCCGGAAGCGCTCGTGCAAAATCCACCTTCAGCCCATTGGGAAGCGCCTCGGCTCCGTTGGCGCAGGGCTCGGTGTTCCCGCTGGGATCAGCGTCCTCATCCGGCTCCGGCTCCACTCGCGTCACCACAAAGACCTTGTGGCCACGGCCAGGGCTGGAGACCGAAATCCTCCTCTCGTGTCCCTGCGATGGAGCATTCCCAATGGGAGCATCCTCAGGGATGCTCGGGGCCATGAGGACACCATCGGTGGAGTCATTGAGCTCCTTCCTCTCCGAGGGAGCAGCATCCTCATCCTCATCCGTATCCGAGTCCGTCCCCTCATCCCTGTCATTGTCCCGCTCCTGATCCCGCTCCGTTGGCTCCGTGGCCCCGTTCTCCGACGCCATCGCCTCCTCCTCTTCCCGTGTGGATCCGGGGCTTCCATCCGGGATGGGCTCAGCGGGAGCCTCTTCCAGAGGCTCGGCCATGGCGATCTCGGCCATGGAAGCCGATTGCTGCAGCTGCTGCTCCTGCTCCTCCTTCTCCTTGGCCAGGATGAAGTTGCGTTTGCAGCCGTTCTGGATCTCCCCCAGCAGAGCCTTCTGTGTCTCAATGAAGCTCTTCACCTGCAAGGGAATGGTCGGGAATCACCGGGAAGAACGGGATCCGTGGCTCTTTCCCAGCTGGAATACAATGGATCTTCCTCCAACCCAAAGGCTGGCATTGCTGCTTCCCCATGGAACGCAGCAGCCCAAGAAACAGGTTCCTCAAGAGCTTCTTCCCAAAGGAATCACCATTGGGATGATGGGATTCCCATCCCAAGGGATGCTCAGAGCAACGAGATGGGTCGTGGCTGTGAGCAGGGGGATGGACCAGAGACCCCCAGGCATGAGATGTGTTAGGAAGTGTTCAGCATCCCAGTGCTCTATGGGAAGCACTCAGCATCCCAGTGCTCTATGGGAAGCACTCAGCATCCCAGTGCTCTATGGGAAGCATTCAGCATCCCAGTGCTCTATGGGAAGCATTCAGCATCCCAGTGCTCTATGGGAAGCATTCAGCATCCCAGTGCTCTATGGGAAGCATTCAGCATCCCAGTGCTCTATGGGAAGCATTCAGCATCCCAGTGCTCTATGGGAAGCATTCAGCATCCCAGTGCTCCATGGGAAGCATTCAGCATCCCAGTGCTCCATGGGAAGCATTCAGCATCCCAGTGCTCTCCGGGAAGCATTCAGCATCCCAGTGCTCCATGGGAAGCATTCAGCATCCCAGTGCTCTATGGGAAGCATTCAGCGTCCCAGTGCTCTATGGGAAGCATTCAGCATCCCAGTGCTCTATGGGAAGCATTCAGCGTCCCAATGCTCTATGGGAAGCATTCAGCGTCCCAGTGCTCTATGGGAAGCATTCAGCGTCCCAGTGCTCTATGGGAAGCATTCAGCATCCCAGTGCTCTATGGGAAGCATTCAGCATCCCAGTGCTCTATGGGAAGCATTCAGCATCCCAGTGCTCTATGGGAAGCATTCAGCATCCCACTGCTCTATGGGAAGCATTCAGCATCCCAGTGCTCTATGGGAAGCCTTCAGCATCCCAGTGCTCTATGGGAAGCATTCAGCATCCCAGTGCTCTATGGGAAGCACTCAGCATCCCAGTGCTCTGTGGGAAGCATTCAGCATCCCAGTGCTCCGGGGGAAGCATTCAGCATCCCAGTGCTCTATGGGAAGCATTCAGCATCCCAGTGCTCTATGGGAAGCATTCAGCATCCCAGTGCTCTATGGGAAGCATTCAGCATCCCAGTGCTCTATGGGAAGCATTCAGCATCCCAGTGCTCTATGGGAAGCATTCAGCATCCCAGTGCTCCATGGGAAGCGTTCAGCATCCCAGTGCTCCATGGGAAGTGCTCAGCATCCCAGTGCTCTATGGGAAGCATTCAGCATCCCAGTGCTCTATGGGAAGCATTCAGCATCCCAATATTGTCCAAGAAGCTGACCAGGATGCCATCTGGGAAGCATTCAGCATCCCAATGCTCTATGGGAAGCATTCAGCATCCCAGTGCTCTATGGGAAGCACTCAGCATCCCAGTGCTCTATGGGAAGCATTCAGCATCCCAGTGCTCTATGGGAAGCATTCAGCATCCCAGTGCTCTATGGGAAGCATTCAGCATCCCAATATTACCAGGAAGCTGATCAGGATGCCATCTGGGAAGCACTCAGCATCCCAGTGCTCTATGGGAAGCACACACCCACCAAACTTCAGCATCCCAGTGCTCTATGGGAAGCATTCAGCATCCCAGTGCTCTATGGGAAGCATTCAGCATCCCAGTGCTCTATGGGAAGCACTCAGCATCCCAGTGCTCTATGGGAAGCATTCAGCATCCCAGTGCTCTATGGGAAGCATTCAGCATCCCAGTGCTCTATGGGAAGCATTCAGCATCCCAATATTACCAGGAAGCTGATCAGGATGCCATCTGGGAAGCACTCAGCATCCCAGTGCTCTATGGGAAGCATTCAGCATCCCAGTGCTCTATGGGAAGCGTTCAGCATCCCAGTGCTCTATGGGAAGCATTCAGCATCCCAGTGCTCTATGGGAAGCATTCAGCATCCCAGTGCTCCATGGGAAGTGCTCAGCATCCCATTGCCATGCCCACAGCAGCACTGAGCACCCCAGCAGGATCCATCCTCTTCCTCCCCATGCTCCCATGACCCCGAGGGCATCCCCGCCCCGCAATTCCCATGGGATTCACTGGGATGCGGCACCCACCGCCTCCTTCTTGGGCTCGCGGTCCAGGTCGAGGCGCAGCAGGGAGTGGTTGACCTTGAGGGCCAGGGACAGGGCCATCAGGCCCCCGGTCTTGACATCGTTCTCCCGCAGGTCCAGGCGCAGGAGCCGGGGGCTCTCGGCGATGAACTCGGCCACGGCCACGGCTCCTGTGGGAACAGGGAATGGGATCTGGCACCCACTGAGCTCAATGGGATGGGAGCATGGAGTCAGGTCCTACAGGGACATGGAGCAGGGAATGGGATCCGGCACCCACTGAGCTCAATGGGAGGGGATGGGAGCATGGAGTCAGGTCCTACAGGGACATGGAGCTGAGGGAGCAGGGAATGGGATCTGGCACCCACTGAGCTCAATGGGATGGGAGCATGGAGTCAGGTCCTACAGGGACATGGAGCAGGGAATGGGATCTGGCACCCACTGAGCTCAATGGGATGGGAGCATGGAGTCAGGTCCTACAGGGACATGGAGCTGAGGGAGCAGGGAATGGGATCTGGCACCCACTGAGCTCAATGGGATGGGAGCATGGAGTCAGGTCCTACAGGGACATGGAGCTGAGGGAGCAGGGAATGGGATCTGGCACCCACTGAGCTCAATGGGATGGGAGCATGGAGTCAGGTCCTACAGGGACATGGAGCTGAGGGAGCAGGAATGGGATCTGGCACCCACTGAGCTCAATGGGATGGGAGCATGGAGTCAGGTCCTACAGGGACATGGAGCTGAGGGAGCAGGGAATGGGATCTGGCACCCACTGAGCTCAATGGGAGGGGATGGGAGCATGGAGTCAGGTCCTACAGGGACATGGAGCTGAGGGAGCAGGGAATGGGATCTGGCACCCACTGAGCTCAATGGGAGGGGATGGGAGCATGGAGTCAGGTCCTACAGGGACATGGAGCCGAGGGAGCAGGGAATGGGATCTGGCACCCACTGAGCTCAATGGGATGGGAGCATGGAGTCAGGTCCTACAGGGACATGGAGCCATCCCAATTCCAACCATGGAATCAGGGAATGGTTTGTATTGGGAAGCCTCGAGATCCTCCCAGTGCAACCCCAGGGACCCCTTCCATAGGGCAGCCTCCTCCTTGAGCACTGATGGGGACGGAGCACCCAAACCTCCTCCTTCCCCCCCATCCCAGCATCCCAGCCCCATTCCCAATGAGCCCATGCGCCGCTCCGGAGCTGGGGAAGCCCTGTGGAAGCTGTGGATCTGTACTGGGACCGGGGTGCTCCCAGTGGTGGCTTCAGGCCTGCACCCACCTTCACAGGTCAGCTTGGTGGAGGCCAGTCCCAGGCGGAGCACGGAGCGGTTCCCAATGAGCCCGTTCTTCAGGTTGCGGACCCCTTCGTTCCCAATGGGATTGTGGCCCAGGTTGAGGGTCTCCAGGCTCTGGGTATGAGGCTGGGGGGGGGGCAGAGATCCATGGGGATGGCATGGATCCATCCCAAACCCAGGAGGGGTGAACTCCCAGCACCCACAAAGGGAAGGGTTTCCATTGGGATTGGGCATCCCAGTGCTCCCCATTACCCCGAGGTGCACTCACCAGTGTCATGCCCAGGTAGGCCATGCCGGCGTGGGTCAGTTGGTTGTTCCATAGGACCAGGGTGACCAAGCCCTTCCGCTGCTCCTTCAGCCCCTCGCAGATGTAGGCCAAGCCTGGAACAGAGTTTGGGATCAGCTCCGCATCCCACATGGATCCTGATGGATCTCACAGCGCTTCCTCCCATCCCATGGGATGGATGATGGGGAAAAGCCATGTGTCCCCCCATTCCAACCCTATTCCCACAGTATTCCCATAGGAAAAGCATGGCAGCATCACTATGGCAGCACCCCCAATGTGTCCCCCCCATTCCAACCCTATTCCCATAGCATCCCTGTAGGAAAAGCATGGCACCATCACTATGGCAGCCCCCCCAATGTGTCCCCCCATTCCAACCCCCTTCCCACAGCATTCCCATAGGAAAAGCATGGCACCATCACTCTGGCAGCACCCCCAATGTGTCCCCCCATTCCAACCCCCTTCCCACAGCATTCCCATAGGAAAAGCATGGCACCATCACTCTGGCAGCACCCCCAATGTGTCCCCCCATTCCAACCCCCTTCCCACAGCATTCCCATAGGAAAAGCATGGCACCATCACTCTGGCAGCACCCCCAATGTGTCCCCCCATTCCAACCCCCTTCCCACAGCATTCCCATAGGAAAAGCATGGCACCATCACTCTGGCAGCACCCCCAATGTGTCCCCCCATTCCAACCCCCTTCCCACAGCATTCCCATAGGAAAAGCATGGCACCATCACTCTGGCAGCACCCCCAATGTGTCCCCCCATTCCAACCCCCTTCCCACAGCATTCCCATAGGAAAAGCATGGCACCATCACTCTGGCAGCACCCCCAATGTGTCCCCCCATTCCAACCCCCTTCCCACAGCATTCCCATAGGAAAAGCATGGCTCCATCAATCTGGCAGCACCCCCAATGTGTCCCCCCATTCCAACCCTATTCCCATAGCATCCCTGTAGGAAAAGCATGGCACCATCACTCTGGCAGCACCCCCAATGTTTCCCCCCATTCCAACAACCCCCTTCCCACAGCATTCCCATAGGAAAAGCATGGCACCATCACTCTGGCAGCACCCCCAATGTGTCCCCCCATTCCAACCCCCTTCCCACAGTATTCCCATAGGAAAAGCATGGCACCATCACTATGGCAGCACCCCAATGTGTTCCCCCATTCCAACCCCCTTCCCACAGCATTCCCATAGGGAAAGCATGGCAGCATCACTCTGGCAGCATCCCCAATGTGTCCCCCCCATTCCAACCCTATTCCCACAGCATTCCCATAGGAAAAGCATGGCACCATCACTCTGGCAGCACCCCCAATGCGTCCCCCCATTCCCACAGCATTCCTGTTGGGAAAGGTTTCCCATCCACCTTTAGACCTGAAGGTGGGCGCTGGGGCCCTTCACACCCATCCCAACGGTGTCTCCATCCCATCCATCTCAGAGCCCCATGGGATGGGATGTGATTCCCAAGGGATGCAATGGGGGGGTCCCTCACCCGAATCCAGGATGTGGTTGTTGCGCAGGTCCAGGATCTGGATGGAGCAGTTGAACTTGAGCAGGTTCCCCAGTTGGGCTGAGTCCTGCAGCCCATTGAGCTTGTTGTCAGCCAGGTAGAGCTCCCGCAGGTTCATGTTCATCTTCAGCGCCGTGGCTGGAAAAGGGGGGGAGCCAGTATGGGATTCCCATATGGAATGATTCCCATATGGATTGATTCCCATATGGGATTGATTTCCAACGGCCACAATCCCTTTGTGTGGAAGCGGTCTCCCGTCCATAGACAACGGCCTCAAGCACCTCCAGGGAGGTTGAATGGGGATAATGGGAATCTTTTCCTCCCAAAAGGCATTGGGAAAGGATGGATTCATGGAATCACAGCCCCTATCCCATTCCCATTCCCTAGGGCCACAATCCCTATGTGTGGAAGCGGTCTCCCGTCCATAGACAACAAAGGAACGGCCTCAAGCACCTCCAGGGAGGTTGAATGGGGATAATGGAATCTTTTCCTCCCAAAAAGCATTGGGAAAGGATGATTCATACACAGCCCCTATCCATCCATCCTGGCCACAATCCCTTGTGTGGAACGGTCTCCCTCCATAGACAACAAGAGAACGGCCTCAAGCACCTCCAGGGAGGTTGAATGGGGATAATGGGAATCTTTTCCTCCCAAAAGGCATTGGGAAAGGATGGATTCATGGAATCACAGCCCCTATCCCATTCCCATTCCCTAGGGCCACAATCCCTATGTGTGGAAGCGGTCTCCCATCCATAGACAACAAGAGAACGGCCTCAAGCACCTCCAGGGAGGTTGAATGGGGATAATGGGAATCTTTTCCTCCCAAAAGGCATTGGGAAAGGATGGATTCATGGAATCACAGCCCCTATCCCATTCCCATTCCCTAGGGCCACAATCCCTTTGTGTGGAAGCGGTCTCCCATCCATAGACAACAAGAGAACGGCCTCAAGCACCTCCAGGGAGGTTGAATGGGGATAATGGGAATCTTTTCCTCCCAAAAGGCATTGGGAAAGGATGGATTCATGGAATCACAGCCCCTATCCCATTCCCATTCCCTAGGGCCACAATCCCTTTGTGTGGAAGCGGTCTCCCATCCATAGACAACAAGAACGGCCTCAAGCACCTCCAGGGAGGTTGAATGGGGATAATGGGAATCTTTTCCTCCCAAAAGGCATTGGGAAAGGATGGATTCATGGAATCACAGCCCCTATCCCATTCCCATTCCCTAGGGCCACAATCCCTATGTGTGGAAGCGGTCTCCCATCCATAGACAACAAGAGAACGGCCTCAAGCACCTCCAGGGAGGTTGAATGGGGATAATGGGAATCTTTTCCTCCCAAAAGGCATTGGGAAAGGATGGATTCATGGAATCACAGTCCCTATCCCATTCCCATTCCCTAGGGCCACAATCCCTTTGTGTGGAAGCGGTCTCCCATCCATAGACAACAAGAGAACGGCCTCAAGCACCTCCAGGGAGGTTGAATGGGGATAATGGGAATCTTTTCCTCCCAAAAGGCATTGGGAAAGGATGGATTCATGGAATCACAGCCCCTATCCCATTCCCATTCCCTAACTATGGAGACAAGGCCCTTACTGACATGGTTTAGGAATAAGGTTGGACTTGAGCTTGAAGGTCTTTCTCAACTTAGTTGCTTCCATGATTCCCTGTGTTATTCCCACCTGGAATAGGGTGCTAAACGCTGCCTGGGCAGAGCTCATCCCTGTTATCCCAACCCTGCCATTAGCTCCATCCCGGATCCATTGGATAACAACTGCCCTACACCCAGGAACAGGAGTGGGAGTAAGGCAGAGGGTGGCCCCACAGCAGCACCAGTATCCCATGGGATGTGGGACACAGGGATGGGGCTCTCCCAGTATCCTGGTGGGATGGGGGACATGGGGATGGAGTCACCCAGTATCCCAGTGGGATGTGGGACACAGGGATGGGACTCTCCCAGTATCCTGGTGGGATGCGAGACATGGGGATGGGCTCACCCAGTATCCCAGTGGGATGTGGGACACAGGGATGGGACTCTCCCAGTATCCCAGTGGGATGTGGGACATGGGGATGGAGTCACCCAGTATCCCACTGGGATGTGGGACACAAGGATGGGAGTCCCCCAGTATCCCAGTGGGATGTGGGACACAAGGATGGGTCCCTGCCAGTATCCCAGTGGGATGTGGGGACTGGGATGAGTCTCTCCCAGTATCCCAGTGGGATGCAGGGCACAGGGATGGGACTTTTGCTATCCCAGTGGGACATGCCCACTATCCCGTGTCACACTCCCACTATCCTGATAGCACATTCCCGTTATTCTGGTGGGACATTCCCACTATCCCAGTGCCTCATTCCCGCTATCCCACTGCCCCATTCCCGCTATCCCAGTACCCCATTCCCGTTATCCAGGTGGCACATTCCTGCTATCCCACTGCCCCATTCCCACTATCCCACTGCCCCATTCCCTCTATCCCAGTTCCCCATTCCCCCTATCCCAGTTCCCCATTCCCCCTATCCCAGTTCCCCATTCCCTCTATCCCAGTTCCCCATTCCCTCTATCCATCCCCATTCCCTATATCCCATTCCCCCATTCCCCTATCCCAGTTCCCCATTCCCCCTATCCCCATTCCCCCATTCCCCTATTCCCATTCCCCCATTCCCCTATCCCATCCATCCCCTATCCAGTCTCCATTCCCCTATCCCAGTTCCCCATTCCCCCTATCCCAGTTCCCCCATTCCCCTACCCAGTTCCCCATTCCCCCTATCCCAGTTCCCCATTCCCCCTATCCCAGTTCCCCATTCCCCCTATCCCAGTTCCCCATTCCCCCTATCCCAGTTCCCCATTCCCCCTATCCCAGTTCCCCATTCCCCCTATCCCAGTCCCCATTCCCACTATCCCAGTACCCCATTCCCCCTATCCCAGTTCCCCATTCCCACTATCCCAGTTCCCCATTCCCCCTATCCCAGTGCCCCATTCCCGCTATCCCAGTGCCCCATTCCCCCTATCCCAGTGCCCCATTCCCTCTATCCCGATGCCCCATTCCCTTTATCCCACTGCCCCATTCCCCCATCCCACTACCCCATTCCCATCCCAGTGCCCCATCCCCACCTGTCCCCATTCCCCCTATCCCAGTTCCCCATTCCCGCTATCCCAGTTCCCCATTCCCTCTATCCCAGTTCCCCATTCCCTCTATCCCAGTTCCCCATTCCCTCTATCCCAGTTCCCCATTCCCCCTATCCCAGTTCCCCATTCCCCCTATCCCAGTTCCCCATTCCCTCTATCCCAGTTCCCCATTCCCCTATCCCAGTTCCCCATTCCCCCATCCCCATTCCCCTATCCCAGTCCATCCCCTCCAGTTCCCCATTCCCCCAGTTCCCCATTCCCCCTATCCAGTCCCCATTCCCTCTATCCCAGTTCCCCATTCCCCCTATCCCAGTTCCCCATTCCCCCTATCCCAGTTCCCCATTCCCCCTATCCCAGTTCCCCATTCCCCCTATCCCAGTTCCCCATTCCCCCTATCCCAGTTCCCCATTCCCCCCAGCTCTCACCCAGTAGCAGCAGTGGGCGCCCGGACAGGGATGCGTTCTCCAGGTGCAGCACCACGAGGCTGCTGCTGATGCGCAGCGCCCGCGCCACGAACGGGGCCGAGTGGTCCAGGAGCGGCGTGTTCCGGGCATCCAGGTACTGCAGGCAGTTGGTCTGGGAACAGGGAATGCTGGGAACACCATGGGAATCACCCCCCCGAACCCCAAATCCCACCCTCAGCACGGGGCTCCTGCACTGCACCCATCCCACTGGGAGAAGCAGCTCTGGCCCAGTTCCCATTGCTTCACAGCCCCTGACCAATAGGGTTTGATGGGGGGATGCTCTGCTTGGATACAGGGAAGTTCTCCACTGGGATACTGGGATGGAGCCAGCCGCCCTATGGGAAGCATCCCTGTGGGATGCGGATGATGGGAAGCTCCCAAGGGAATCTCCAGCTCCTTCCCCACACACACAACTGGGTCTGAAGCATCCCAAGGGGCTCCAGCAGCACCTTTGGCTCCTCCAAGCCATGGGTTGGGCCCTGCAGATCCCAGCTCAGCTCCATCCTGCATCCCAAGGGATAATTGGGCACCGAGGGTGGTTTGGGCCTCACCCTGAGCTGCCTCCTCCTCAGCTCCACAATGAGGTCAATGAGGCAAAGCTCATCCGGTGGGAGGATAATGAGCTCCAGAGGTTGGGATCTGCGCTTCCATGGGCTCCAAAGGCCTTCCCAACCCCTATCCCAACCCCTATCCCAACCCCTATCCCAACCCCTATCCCTCTGCTCTGTGCTGGGGCTGCTTATGGGACACTTGGAAACATGGGATGAGGGGGAATGGCTTTGACCTGATACAAGGGGGATGTAGGGAGGAAGATCCTCACCATGAGGGTGGGTTTGGCTGCTCCATCCCTATGGATGCTCCCAATCTGCCTGCTCCCTATTGGAGCAAGCTACCCTGAGGATGGTCCCCATCTCCTTCCCACCCCATCCCTGGCTCTTGCATAGGGAACAGAGCAGCACAACCCCATCCCAGCTCCTTCCCACCCCATCCCTGGCTCTTGCATAGGGAACAGAGCACCACAACCCCATCCCAGCTCCTTCCCACCCCATCCCTGGCTCTTGCATAGGGAACAGAGCAGCACAAACCCCATCCCAGCTCCTTCCCACCCCATCCCTGGCTCTTGCATAGGGAACAGAGCAGCACAACCCCATCCCAGCTCCTTCCCACCCCATCCCTGGCTCTTGCATAGGGGACAGAGCAGCACAAACCCCATCCCAGCTCCTTCCCACCCCATCCCTGGCTCTTG